CCCCCTGGTTTCTGACTTTCTCTCTAGATTAATGTTGAGTTGCCTTTTGTGAGACCATGCTGTAAAGTTATATCAAGCTTAATCTACCTTACATTGTTGGAAGTTCTGATGGCGGAATAGACAGCGTGTCTGTGTTTGAAGTCTTACAATTATTATTTATTTATGAGTGTGGGATGGAATCCTGTACCCGGAAGGGTTTGTTTTTTCTCCCCCTAACTGACCAACAGTTTTTACACATAGTCATTTGTCTTGACTTCAAAGATTTCCACTCATGTTTTTGGGTAAAAACAAAATCATACTCGTAGTCGTCATCATCATCATTGTCTTCTTCACCCTACACCAGAGTATAGGCCACGGACAAACACCTTCCACCTTTCTCTTCTCTATCCTGTGCTAGCCTCTTGATGTTATTCCATGTCTTCCCACTTTTCTGTACATCGATTTCTGTGATTCTTCTCCAGGTTCCACACGGTCCTCCCCTTGATCTCTTACCCTGTGGATTCCAGTCCAAAACTTTCTTTGTTATGCATCTGCCTGACTTCCTGAGAGTATGTCCAATCCATCGCCACTTCCTTTTTCCTACCTCATCTCTGACTGGGATCTGTTTTGTTTTCCTTAACACTTCCACATTGGTGACCCTGTCTGTCCATCTGATCCTCAGTAACTTTCTTAGACACCTGTTCAAGAAAACCTGGGTCCTCTTTATGCAAGTCTGTGATGCGTTCCATGTCTCACATGTTGTATAACAGGACAGACTTCACATTTGAATTGAAAATCCTCAGCTTTGTTCGAAGTGAGATATCTCTGGTCTTCCAAATCCTATCCAAAGACATGAAAGCAGCCTGTGCTTTTCCAATGCGGGACTTTATTTCAGCACCTGTTCCTCCCTCTCTGTCAATTATACTCCCAAGATAGCAAAAGGATTCAACGTCTTCTAGTGCCTTTCCTTCTATTGTGACCTGCTCCTTTCGTTGTGCGTCTGTCCTTGATTCCGTGGTGTCTCATTATCTTCCATAGTGTTGCTCGCTCTTTACTGTCAAAGGCCTTCTCATAGTCAAGGAAGTTGACAATCAGCTGGGAGTTCCACTCCAGGGACTGTTCCACAATGATCCTCAGCGTGGCAATCTGGTCAGTGGTTGAGAGATTTTTCCGGAAACCAGCCTGTTCATCCCGTAGTCTTGGATCCGTTGCTGTCTTGACTCTCTCCAGAATGATTCTGTTGCAGACCTTACCTGGTATTGAGAGAAGAGTGATCCCTCTGTAGCTGCTGCAGTAGCTGAGATCCCCCTTTTTTGGAAGCTTCATGAGGTGTCCTTCTTTCCAATCCTTTGGGAACTTGCTCTCATTCCAAATCCTGGTAACAGTGGGAGGAGGACGTCTGCCGTCACATTGGCATCTGCTTTTAGGGCTTCAGGTGGAATCTGATCAGGACCGGCCGCTTTACCTTTGTTTAGCTTCTTATTGGCATCCAGAATCTCTTGTTTTGAAGGAGCATCACAGCAGATTGGTAACTCATTTCTTGCTGGCAGGGTGTTTGGTGGGTTACTCGGTGGTGGTCTGTTCAGGAGACTGTTGAAATGCTCTACCCATCATTTAGACTGAGCTTCCTTTCCAAAAATGGTTTTCCCCTCTTGGTCCTTTACTGGTACTTCACGTTTCCCGTATTTTCCTGCAAGTGTCCTTGTGATCTGGTATAGGATTCGCATGTGCCCTCCTACCGCTGCTTCCTCTGCCTTCTCTGCCAGCCTGTTCATGAATTCCTCCTTGTCTTTTCTTTGTGATTTCGTGACATCTTTAGCTGTTGTCCTGTACGGCTCCAATGCATCCGCTCTTGATCCTCTTGTTCTACTTGCATTCGCTTCTACCTTCAGTTGTCTTCTTATCCTAATCATATCAAATGAGTGTTGGCTAATCCATTTCTTGTGCTCCTATTTCTTCACACCGAGTACTTCTTGACATGTTGATGTAAAGACTTCTTTGACCTTGGTCCAATGTGTATCCACCTCCGTGTCCTCTCCGCCAAGATCAGCCAGAGGTTGAAATCTGTTCCTCAGCTGTAGCTGAAACTCTTCTTTCTTGTGTCCGTCCAAGAGACTTACTTGGAACTTTGTTCTTTTGATTCCTGTGCTGGTTCCGTGCTTTTTGAGTCAAAGCTTGAGTTTTGCCAACAGAAGATGATGATCCGATCCAACATCTGCCCCTCTCTGTACTTTGACATCTTCCAGTGAATGCCTGAACCTACGAGAGATACAAAAATGATCTATCTGGTTCTCCGTCACTCCATCTGGCGAAACCCATGTAGCGTTGTGAATCCTCTTGTGGGGGAAAAACAGAGCCTCCAATTACAAAACTGTTGCAAGCACATATATTTGCCAGTCGCTCACCGTTCTCATTCATTTGTCCCAACCCATGTTATTCCATAATTCTTTCATACCCCACATTGTCCTGACCGATCTTGGCATTGGCATCTCCCATTATGATGTTGACATCCTTCCTTGGTAGTTTGTCAATGAGCCCATGGAGCTGGCTGTAAAAGGTATCCTTGTCTTCATCTAAAACATCATTTGTTGGGGCGTAGATTTGGACTTTATTCATGTTGATTCTCTTGCTCCTTGTAGTGAATGAAGCCATGATGATCCTTTCCCGGTGTGGTTCCCATCCTCTTAGTGACTTCTGCGCATACTAATTCAAAATGATTCCCACTCCTTCCGCATGGTGCTTGTCTTCCCTCCCAGAATACAACACTTGTTCCCCCGAGCTGAGCTGCTTCTGTCCAGACTACCCAGTGTGTTTCGCTGACTCTTAGTATGTTCAGCCTGTATCTCTTCATCTCTTGTACTACTTGAAAACTCTTTCCTGCTTCATACAAGGTGCGATCATTCTACGACGCAATCCGGAGAGACTTGTTCGACAGAGAAGGTTTCGGGTCAGAAGAGTCCTTTCGGCTTTGTCCGCTGTCCTTCATTGTTCTTGCTGATGCAGAAGCTCCTCCGTCTCCCAAGATAAAAAAATAAAAAGCTGTGTTTGTCCGTGTTTCTGTAACTTACTGTTTTTTACTGGGTTGGGTAGTTGACCCTCCACAAACTCGCACTTTTCGGGCGACCAGACCTTTGCACTTTTAGTCGCATCTTACAACACGCTGTATCACGGCAGGTGTATTCTTTGCTCTCCCATAGTAAAACTATGGGCCCCCCCACCACTCGTAGTCAAATTCTATTCAAATAAGATGGAGAGTGAGAGTGAGACGTGTCATTCTCTTTAAAAAAATTTTAGCTCTTCAATTACAAATTTTCGTCGACTTCCGGGGACCCTTGGCCCCCAGACCTCCCATAAATTTTTCCTCCATTTTAGGATTTTTCTGTTGGAAGCACTGGGAGAATCCAAAAATGCGCATATCTCAAAATGGATAATTTTGACCCAAATTACAACTTTCTGCTGCTGCCCACCCCTTTAAGTTGCACTGCGCTTACCATCAATTGTTGCGTTAGTGGAATTGGTTGTAGGCATATTGAGTTGGATGTCGGTAAGTATTGTATACTGTTTTATAACTTAAAGAAGAAGTAACTGGAACATTTATGTACACATAACTTATATACATAGTGTACAGCATGCCATTGAAGCTGTGATTAACAGGAAAGATTAAAACAGGTTTTTTTTTCCCACTGCTTATATTTTCATAAAGGAATGTTTCATTATCTTATCATTATCAGGAGTTCTTCAGAGTATGTGACTCAAATCAGAAAGTCAGCAAACCAGAAATGCATCAAAGTGGAGGCTGTAAGTTTTGACGTGGGCCACTTTCAAGAGCAAGGATTTGGTTCAAGCAGGCCTAGTCTGTCCTTTATGCCAGTATCTGACTGGGTCACCGTCCATAATGGTAGGATATCTCTTTGGTCTTTACGACACAGAGTTTGTACTCGGTGTAGGTGTGAGGTGTCAGTAGTGTAGTGAGATTGCTGGTTTGGGTGTTTAAGGCTCAGCTCTGTTCGTTATTGTGTCCATGGGAAGGGCACTTTATGTGAATTGCCCCATTTGGCTCAGGATTTGGACTTTAAATTTGCATATTCTGACTCTGAAATAACTGTATAGTTTTGCAAGGGGTGTTAAACGGATACCATTGTGGGTGATTGGCAGGTGCTCTAGCGTGGTTTGTTCCTTCTTTCCTACTAAACATCTGTTGTCCTTATTTCTCCTCCGTTTTTGTGTTTATTGCTCTCTTGTAACACCTCTAATCTTGGGCATTTATATGACCTAATTGTGTTGCAAGTGCCGTAAAACTCTTACTAAGACAAATGTATACATTTAAGCATTTCACAAAATGCAGGTGTCTGATGTGCTCACCGTACACAACGGTAGGACTTTTCTCTTCGGTCTCTTACAGTTCTGCTTATAGTCTCATTAGTGTGGTTTGTGCAAAAGTCAGCTACGTGCTTTTTATCTGTGAAACAATGGTTTTGGACAGTCTCAAGTGTTCTTTTTCCTTAACTCATTCGCTACACCGCACCGTGGTGAGCGGTGCGGCGAAAGTGTCTTCCGTACGACAAGTCGCCCCCGACGGCTCGAGAACCGACCAATAACTCTAGCTTTGATTTTGTTCCAATCCACATATCAATGTTAAAATAAAGGTTATAATATAACATTGACTTCCGGGTCAAGCGTTTCCACTGAAGTTTAGATTCTGTTTTGAATCGCGATTTCGAAGTTTAAGCGACTCTGTTTTATCGCGATGCCCAAATTATAGCCCAGACACTAGTCTTAGTACTTTTATACAACAAAATGTATGATTATTTTGCTCACTAAAGAAATGTAGGACTCTTCTTTAGAATATTGATACTATTGGACTCAAATTGCCTGTGGTCTGTTATTGAGAAGTTAATATTTTTCAGGGCTAGATCTAGCTAGACCTAAATTGTCAAAATATTTTTTTCTCCTCGAAATCACTATTTATTAGTGAAATTACTCTAAAAGTACCACTCAAGACATGTATAGGTTTATTCCAAATGAAATTCTTAATAATTTCATATGTGATACGAGTGTTTTTTTTTCTGTTTGTGATTGCATCTTGTCCTTTTTTCAAGATTATACATTAAAAATAAAAAAAGTTCAATATGGGATGTTATGATTCAAATGTACAAATTTTATGGAATGTATGTAAATAACTGCAAATGTTTCAATATTTTCCTGTTCTATATTCATTTGTGGTTATTTTGATGTATCATTTGACTAGGTGCAAATATATTTTTTGAGTTTCACCAAAGATGATTAATTTTATATTTTAAAATTTTATCCGTATCCAATCAAAATTGTGTTGCATAATCGCCTCTTACAGGAACCAAAGTTGAAAAATACACTATTAAACATTACAGATGTATTCTACAAACCATACTGAAAATTTTGGTACATAATATATTGATATTTATTTGAATTTGTGGCCCCAAAGATGTGTGAACTGCGCACTAGTCACCATCTCATTTTGCCCTCCCGAAAAAAATTCGTCCGCAAGCTGAAAATAATTCGTAGCGAATGAGTTAAGTCTCTCTTGTTTTGTCCCCTCCTGAAATAAGACCATTCACCTTTGGCTTCTATTTGCTTCATTAGGTTATGTTGATTTTAACAGTGCCTTCTCCCTTCTTTCCATTGTTCTTACAATTGGCTACTCTTGTCTTGTCCTCTCTGGAAATTAGACCTTTCACCATGGCTGAACTATTTGCTTTGCTGAGTATGTTGATTTCAACTGTGTCTTATCCTTTAACTGAAGGATGACAGGGACAGGCGACTTACTTTTGTTGTTTTTGAGTGTTTTTTTTTTTGCTTTTCTAGTTAATTTCTGAAGACCAAAGGGACATATGATTCAGTTTTGCTTCAAATATAATATCAGAAATTCTTTCCTCTTGTTATCGTCCAAATTCATCTGATTACTTGCTACTCCATATGGTCTAATCTTTCCTGCAATATGTAAAGATGTAGCATATATATATATTTGCTTGTCCCAAACTTGCCAGAACTCTCCATGCACTTTGAAAAGTTCACTTTCAAAATTTCCTATTTTCAGGGCCTAACATTTCCTGCTTTGACCTCACCATGGGATGCAGGGACTCCAGAAGTAACGCCTCACAAATTTTCAATAAAGAAAGCGATGTGGTCACTGTCTTGTTGAATCGGAGGTAAGACTGTATTATGGAACATTTTCTGAAGAGGAACAATAATTTAATCCTGGCACTAGTGGAATTTGGTTGCTGATAAAGCAGTGGTGCACTGCAGTGAGAAAATTTGATAAGAAATCTTTGCTTACATTGACGAATGTTTGAAATTGAATTCTGAAGAATGATGCAAGTTACGTAAAGAAAAGTTTTATGTTTTGTATTACTATAAGGTGTCCTTGTATGAAATGGTAACGAATATTGTGTTTTAGGTAAGAAAGTTTTGGAGAAAAAAAATCAGTGGGTAATATAGACATATCTCCTCTCCCCCCCCAAAAAACCCCCCAAACAAACCCCAAACAAAACAACAACAAAACATGAATAGAAATGTTCTGAAAGGAAAAGACTTGAAATTCAGACTCGGGGCAATCCCTCTGTTCAAATATGTGACCAGAAAAGCTTAATGTTTATTTGGGTGTGATAGATTTACAACACAAGTGTGTCACAACTTGGTGGTATCAGGCGCTCGTCAATTTTCGGGCATGTAGAGTTATTAGTATCATCTTGAAGCTTGTTCAATTGTCTTGCTTTTGATGAAAAAAAAAATACCCATCTATCTTTAACAGAGGTCGAGATACTTGCAACTGAAGCAGGTAGGGGAGGGGAGGTTGCTTGGTTTTAGGGGTAAAATTAGTGAGCAAATGGCCACCAAAGTTTTGTGATTTCCATAGCTTGAGAGTTCTAGAAGAGTGAGAATTTACATTTTGTGTGTGCTTTTAATCAAAATTTTTCAATAAAATTCACACAGAAATGTTTTTGAATGGACAGAACAGGTGTTGACCTAAGAGAAAAAAAAATTAATAAAAACTGCCAAACCTTTGGAAAAATGCCAGTTTCTTCCATTTCATTATTTTGATGAGCGCCAGATTTCACTACAATACCTCACATGTAGTACGCTTGAAGTCTCAGATATCCCTCTGCGTGGAAATAATTAGTATTCTGTGCTGGTTGTTTTCAGGCTGGAGTTCACTACTGGATTCTGGCTCAGCTTTAAAGCAACAGGTAAATTTTTGTGCCATTCTCACTTTGTTTTTTACCTTTATTTGTGTTTAGACCATTAACTCTGCATGTTAGGGCCAAACTTAATTGAGTAGGGTACACCATTATAAAAGAAAGGCAGAGATAGTCGATAAAGTAAACTCTTTCATGTGGGGATTGAACTTACTTTTATTTTCAACATTGAAGAGACTAACTGACCATAGGCACAGATACTAATGTGCTCTGTTCCTGAAATATGACACTTTCACCAAAAAAAGGTCACCCAAGTAAATTTCACCCCAACCCCCAGTGGGTCGGGAGGATATAAATAGACCCACTGCTTCGTCTGCAGAAGGTGCAACCCCCTCAAAGGCGGAGTGTCGCACACGGACCCTAACCCTCTGGGATTGATCCGTGTGCGACACTCACTTTGGTGTGTCTTCCTCTTCTCCTTCCTTCTTTCTTTTTTCTTCTATCTTTCCTACCACTGCTGACCTCAAGTGCAGTAAAAAGAGAGGTCACCCATCCCACACAGTGGGCGCCTCGTTGACCGTGAGGTGCGACCCGTGCGGAGGGAAACCGGGTACCTGGCGGTTGAGGTGAGATCAGTCCATGGACTGTCCCTCGCCAACACACCTCTTTGGCCCAGGTTTTCCTCTTAGACAGGAGGGTGGCACGCAGGGTTGGTGATTTTTTTGATTTTTTAAAATCGATTTTTAAAATTTAAATCAAGATTTTTAAAATTGAAATATGATTTTTGTGATTTTTTGGATTTAAAAAAAAAATGTCGACACTGTTTGGGATTTTGGGTTTCTAAAAGTATGTTCTTTTAGTGCAAAATGCATTTTCTTTATTTTAACTTATGATTAATTTAAGCAACCGCAAAAGAAAGCCTTAATCTGCTATATATATATATATATATATATATATATATATCAGTGAATTATATCATGGCTACAGACAAAAAATGAAGAAAATGTCAGTCTAAAAGGAAGGGGGTGGGGGGGGGGGGGGTTAATTATGTATAGATAAACTTGCATTTTATTACAGTGTGTGTGTGTGTGTGCGCGCGCGCATGCTTGTGTTTGTCCATAAAGAAAAAGAAAATGTTAATTTCAATAATGATAAAAAAAAGTAAATTGAATACTGTATTATTTTACAGTGACAGGGGGAAAGCAGACATTTAGGCATGATTATATTAGTCTACTAAACCTTATATCTGTTTTATAAAACCAAGGAAAGGAATTCTGAATGTTTAAAGATATAAAAACAGAATACATTTTTAAAAAGTGATTTAAATCACTGAGTTTTATTTTTAAAATCAAGTTGATTTAAATTTAAAAAAATCGATTGATTTAAATCGACCTGATTTAAATCAACCCAACCCTGATTTCAATTATGAAAAAAAAGTCAATTGAATACTGTATTATTTTACAGTGACAGGGGGGAAAGCAGACTTTTAAGTATGATTATATTAGTCTACTAAACCGTATCTGTTTAATAAAACCAAGGAAAGGAATTCTGAATGTTCAAATATGTAAAAACTGAATACATTAAAAAAAAAGTGATTTAAGTCACTGATTTCTATTTAAAAAATCAAGTTGATTAAAATATTAAAAAATCAACTGATTTAAATCAACCCAGCTCTGATTTCAATTATGGAAAAAAAAGTAAATTGAATACTGTATTATTTTACAGTGAAAGGAGGGAAAGCAGACTTTTAAGCATGAATATATTAGTTTACTGAACCGTATATCTGTTTTATGAAACCAAGGAAAGGAATTCTGAATGTTGAAATATGTAAAAACTGAATAAAAATAAATTTAAAAAAAAGTGATTTAAATCATTGATTTTTATTTAAAAAATCAAGTTGAATTAAATTTTTTAAAAATCAACTGATTTAAATCAACCCAACCCTGGTGGCACGGCCCATGACACTCAATCGGTTGAGAGCTGAAACCCCATCAAGCCCTTGGTCAATCTTGACGTGAGGGTCTTGTACTTTCTCGTTGAGAGTATAGCTCAGGGGTAGCCCTGGCACAGCGAGCAATGTGTCCCCTTGTTGGGCTCCGTGGCGGGCGGGGAGCCCCGGAGTAGAATCAACAATAAATTTCATATGGAATCAAAATTAAAAAAAGACCCTTCCCCAGCTCCTAACGTTAACAAAAAGTCTTGGCTCGCGGAAGCGGGTGCGGCCGCCGAGCCGAGCAAAAATTCTAAATCAGGTAAAAGGACCTTTACCGTTGCTTCTTTCCTCCCTTCTCCCAGGGAGCTTCCGAAGCAGCCGTACGTGGCCATCAGCTGCAAAGAAGACGCACAGAAGAAGATCACTGATCAGAATCTGTTCAAGACGGGAGATACACTACGACAGGTTCTGGGATACATTCCTACGAATGTCCAGAAGCTGTCCTCTGGTGTACTCCTCATCAAGTGCGCAACTGAAGACAAAGTGACCAAACTCCTGGATACCATGACCTTCGGCGGTATTCCATGTAGGTCCGAGCGCTACCAGAAATTCAACCGCTCGAAAGGCGTCGTCCGCAGTCATGAGCTGAAAGGCTGCTCCATGGAAGAAATTGTGGAGCACTGTGAGGGAGTGGTCGAAGCCCGCCGGATTACTCTTCGGCGGGGGGAGACTACTATTGAAACGAACACGATTGTCCTCACTTTCGAATCGTGTCGCCCTCCAGCCACCGTTCGGGCATCTTACTTGGTACTCGACGTACGACCCTATGTGCCGAACCCTCTGCGCTGTTTCAAGTGTCAGAAGTTCGGCCATAGCCAGTCACGGTGCCGTCACGCAGCCGTGTGTCCTCGTTGTGGCAAGTCGGGCATCCTGAGAAGGAATGCAAGGCTAGTCCTTGTCGCTCCAATTGCCACGGCCAGCACACAGCTTTCAGCAAGGAGTGCCCGACTTGGCTCCAAGAACGCGCCATCCAGGAATACAAGGCGCGAAATGGCTGCTCCTTCCAGGAGGCCCGTAAGGTTGGCTGCCCGCCAATCACAACCCCAGTCATTGGCCGGTCGTATTCAAAGGTAGCCCAGGAGGTCACGAGGTCGGCAAGTAATTTTACTGCCGACCTCCCAAAGCCCACGGTCAACAGGCAAGTCTCTGTGCCTAAGAACAAAAAGCCCGCTACTATCCCTGTGGCAACCCCCTTTGAGGTGCCACTCTCTAACCGCTATGGGGTTCTAGGGGAGGACGGGGAGGACTCTTCCTCCGCCCCCTCTTCTCCCCCTCACCCCTCTTCTATCATTTCTTCTTCTTCTCCTTCTTCTTCTTCCACCTTACAGCCCATCCCTCTGATGGAGTTTGAGGTGGGCCTTATCCCCTCCCCAGCCCCCTTCCCAGCCCCCTCGGTCTGCTCCACCTCCCCCTACCCCTCCAGCAGACAAACCCCTGCCTATGGAGGAAGACAGCTCCGACCCCCCTCCCCGGCCTGACCCCGGGAAGGGCGGAGTCTGTCACTCCTCCAAATCCCCCACTAGACTGCCGTCCAATCCAGGACGGCAACCTAGAAAACACTCCGCCTCCCCCGCAAGGAGGAGTCAGAGTGTCTCTTCGAAGCCGGGACCTCCAAGCTCCAAAATAAAAACTAAAAAGTCATAATGGCGGCCCTGCAATGGAATGCCGGCTACCCCCAGTGGGTCGGGGGGATATAAATAGACCCACTGCTTCGTCTGCAGAAGGTGCAACCCCTTCAAAGGCGAGGTGTCGCACTCGGACCCCAATCCTCTGAGATCCGGATGCGACACCTACTTTGGTGTATCTTCCTCTTCTCCTTCCTTCTTTCTTTCTTCTTCTGTCTCTCCTGCCACCGCTGACCTCATGTGCAGCAAAAAGAGAGGTCACCCATCCCACAGAGTGGGCGCCTTGTTGACCGTGAGGTGCGACCCGTGCGGAGGGAAACCGGGTACCTGGCGGTTGAGGTGAGATCAGTCCACGGACTGTCCCTCGCCAACACACCTCTTTGGCCTAGGTTTTCCTCTTAGACGGGAGGGTGGCACGGCCCATGCCACTCAATCGGTTGAGAGCTGAAACCCCATCAAGCCCTGGGTCAATCTTGACGGGAGGGTCACGTACTTTCTCGTTGAGAGTATAGCTCCGGGGTAGCCCTGGCACAGCTCTGGTTATCCGAGCTATGTGTCCCCTTGTTGGGCTCCGTGGCGGGCGGGGAGCCCCGGAGTCGAATCAAATAGAAAACTCTCATGGATTCTAAAAATCAAAAAGACCCTTCCCCAGCTCCCAACGTTAAAAAGTCTCGGCTCCCGGAAGCGGGTGCGGCCGCCGAGCCGAGCAAACAAACTACTAAAGGAAAAAGGACCTTTACGACTGCCTCTGCCCTCCCTCCTCTCAGGGAGCTTCCGCGGCAGCCGTACTTGACCATCCGCAGCACCGATGCACAGAAAACGATGACTGACTTAAATGTATTTAAGATAGGAGATGCTCTAAGACAGGTTCTGGGATACATTCCTACGAATGTCCAGAAACTGTCCTCTGGTGCTCTCCTCATCAAGTGTGCATCGGATAATGAACTGGCCGGACTTGAAAAGATAACGACCTTCGGTGGTGTTCCTTGTGTTTCCGAGCGACACCAGAAATTTAACCAGTCGAAGGGCGTGGTCCGCAGCCATGAGCTGAAGGGCTGCTCCAACCAAGATATTGTGGATAACTGTGAGGGTGTGGTCGAAGCCCGCCGAATTACTATTCGGCGGGGGGAGTCCACGCTAGAAACGAACACAATAATTCTAACTTTTGATTCGTGCCGCCCTCCAGCCACCGTTCGGGCATCATACTTGGTCTTGGACGTGCGACCCTATGTGCCGAACCCTCTACGCTGCTTTCAGTGTCAGAAGTTCGGCCATAGTCAGTCGCGATGCCGACGTGCAGCCGTGTGTCCTCGCTGCGGCAAGACTGGGCATCCTGAAAAGGAATGCAAGGCTAGTCCTTGCTGCCCAAATTGCCAAGGCCAGCACACAGCCTTCAGCAAGGATTGCCCGACTTGGATTCAAGAACGCGCAAT